TGTCTAGACCAGAAGTTCTCTTTCTTCATGGCAGGAGTGCATAATTTATACCTGATTCTCCAAAGGTTGCCATTCAACCGGCATTTTTTATGCATCAGAAAAAGGGAACTGTTAAATGCACTGAGAAAAATGATAACTGGTCTGGTCTGGCCCAGATTACGCATTATTCATCCACTCAGATTAGTATTTTTCAACCTTGGCAACTGGAAGTTGTGTGGACTTCAACTCCCAGAATTCCCCAGCCAGCATGCGCTGACCAGGGAATTCTGGGAGTTGAAGTCCACACAACTTCCAGTTGCCAAGGTTGAAAAATACTAATCTGAGTGGATGAATAATGCGTAATCTGGGCCAGACCAGACCAGTTATCATTTTTCTCAGTGCATTTAACAGTTCCCCTTTTCTGATGCATTAAAAATGCCAGTTGAATGGCAACCTTTGGAGAATCAGGTATAAATTATGCACTCCTGCCATGAAGAAAGAGAACTTCTGGTCTAGACACAAGGCATTGGAGGCTTCCAGAACATACAGCCTCTGTCTCCAGCAGGCAGCCCTTGGGAGGGAAGGTAAAATTGTATAAAAAAAGATGGATGTTCAACCTAGAAGGATGGTGAGCTCTTCTGAAAATCAGAGAGTTGAGTGCTTTTGTTCAGGTGGAGAAGTCATCCTTCAGCAATTCAGGAATCTTGTTCGGCTCTGCTACTCAGAACAGCCAGATCCGCTTCAGACCCACTCATCTGCTGTGTTTGTCTTTGTGCCATCCCCGCCTCCTGTTCCTGCCATCTTTGCCTCCTGCACTGGGCCCTGTGGAAGGGATCTTTCTGGATTTTTAAAGGGATTATTCTGAATGTGTTGAGCCACAGGGTCCTGGGGAAGAAGCAGGGGAACCTTCCCCCCATCGTAACGAAGCTTGACTCAACTGAGTGCATCAGCCTCCTTCCCTTTCCCATCTCCCCATGCAGGTGGCTGATCACAGTGTCCGATTTCCGGACTCGGAACCAGCTCTTATGTTCTGGACTGACCTTGGGTGAAAACCATTTTGTGCTGCGACGCTGGGACAACCTGGTGATGGAGGACTATCGCATGCATCTTCGAAGGGCCCTAGCCCGCCAGCGTCTGCTGGACACTCTCAGTGACTCCTGGGAGGCCAACCACTTGGATGGCATCTGACCTCCAGGGAGGATAAGAATCCCAAGCCAAGCAAAACATGATGCTGCTGCCCTGCTTGTGGATCTGTTTAATCTTTCTTTTTTTTTCTTCCTCTCTTAAATTAGAAACCAAGGAGGCTAATGTTTCCCCTGAAAGCTTAGACTCCTGGCTTTTATTCCTGGTCTTTCTGGTCCCACATTTGGAAAGAAGGTGCCCCCTAGAGGAGCTTTGGGGTACATCTGCTTTTCTGCTCTGCCTGGCTGTCTCCAAACTAGGCAACCTGGAGAGGAATCGCTGTATACTGTCGCACCTTTGTGTGTGAAGGGCTGCAGGGAAATTTATTTTCCAAAATGCTGTTGCTACTACCCTCTGAAGCTGAGGAGCAAGCACATGGCTTCTAACTGCGGGAGAAGTAGAAAGCTCTAGAAAGGCCATGCATTTGTGGCAACCGATTTCTTGCTGCTTAAATTTCCAGTTGCTGCCAAGTTTGTTTGAGTCCACTTACTTTTTTTCTTTTTTGGTGAATAGGCATAGATTGAAACCATCATTCCTTCATTTCTGCATGTTTGATGTAGTTTGTTTTTATTCATTTTTAATTTTAAAAAACACACCCAATCCTTTCATGCATACAAATTGCTTGGGGAAATTGAAACAGGCTACATCTTCTCCCTCCCATCCACCCCTTGCTGCCTGACCTATTCTGAGTAAATGTTAACATCTGAATTTACCAGAGGACCTCATCTGGTTAATTTCATAACCTCTTAATTTTAGAATCCTCATAGAAAGTTATCTGGCTGAATTTTCTGGTTTATAATTTGCAAGTAGCTTCCCCAAGCAGTGTTACCCACCTAAATTGTATAATATCACCAGACCTCTCCCCCTGTGCCCCCCCACTATGAAAAAAAAATCTCTCCTCTCCTTATCCAGGTGTATAGTTCAGCTGTGAGTGGGCAAAAAGTCCATGGCTGCAAGACAGGGCAGCTAAATCATTTTAGACACAAATGTAAATATAATGTTAATGATAGAGGCGGGGTAACTTTAGGCAATCATATTTCTTATTTGGGAATAAGCACCATTTGGTTTCAGAAAGTAATAAATTACATTTTAAATTAAAAATTACGACATAAGTGTCTTGACTATGTACAAGCCCAGCCATGTATAATAAATTTAAAAATACTATAATAAACTATGATCAATGATGATATGGATGTTGCATTGTCCCCTGGTGTCCTGATCATCTGCCTCTCTCTGAATGCCCCCCGCACCAGTAATGGGGCCCACAACTTCAACCTTGATGTCCAACTGCATCACAGTTCCCAAAGCCACACTCAGCTTGGTATAATTAATGATTAAGGGAGCTGTAGTCCAACCCATTTATACTTTTTACATAGAGTTGTAACTGGGGAAATTAGAGTGAGCTGAAATGCTTGGCACTAAGTTCTGCTTCTTCTCTTCCAAAATCATCTTATTAAAAATAATGCTTTCCCGCTGGATTCATGATTGCATGTTCCCACTGTATCAGAATACTTATATACTGTATAATGCTGGCTCCAGGATTTTGGTGAAAGGGGATGGGGGTAGGGAGTGACAGCCTCAGACTCTTCTAACTTGTAAGAACTGGACCGTGGAAATGGAGCACTCTCTCCAGTTGCATCTAACACTCCCTTCTTTGGCAATGGGAAATAATAGCACTCCCACAGCAGTTAAATAATTGGTGTACCAGGGCTACAGGACTTTTCCACTGCTTTTGGGATCCTACCAAATGCCCCATCTTGCTAGCCTTATATCAGGCAAAAATTGTGTAAGGGTCACGCCAAAATAATCACAGGGAAGCACTGCTGGGAACTACCAGCTCATCTAGGCAGGCTGTCCATTTTACCAAGTCAGGTGATTCCTGGGGCTTCTCTTCTTGCTCCCGGGCTGAATTTCCTGGAGCCTGAAGCACGGCACTCCCCAACCATGAACTCCTCTTCTGTGGGGAAACTATCTGCATGGGACTTGCTATAAAAGATATTTCCACTCACTGTTCTGCACCGTCTTTTCTTCTGCATTCAGGTTTGGTCTATATTGCACTTCAGTATCTCTCGTTCAGATCACTAGCCAGTTCCAGATCAGCTAAATGTGAACAGGTTACTACATCTGATGGCTTCTGATGTTGCTGAGGGACATTACCAATGGGGGCGGGGGGCGACTCTGAACAGAGAAATATGCCAAGACTTGAGAGCCTTTGGATAGAATTGACCTACCAAGTGCTTTCATCCCAGTTTGGGGAAGGACCTTTAAGCTCTGCAATCCAATCCAAGATTACTGGGTTGCTTAACAAGTGTTCTCTGAGTAATGATCTGTACCATCACGTGTGTCGCACGGTGCCTAAGCAGACCACCGGGAGGACATTTTTGAGCCCTCTAAATCAGGCAGAGCCAGGTTTCTGGCACAAAGGAACTTGTTTGTTCCTGCTAGAACCCAGCGGTCCACTAACTTGATGTAAAATACTGGCATGATAGCAGAACCAATTAACAACTTCACTGATAAGCTAGAATGATGTGTGTGTGCACCAACAGAAACTTGCATCTCAGTTGTACAGAACTACTTAACTGAGGAAGGAAACTCTCCCCTCTTCACTTGCTATGATTCAGCAGTTCCAAGCCAGACATCCTTGTCAATCTGCTGCAAATAATCCAGTACATCCAAGGCTTGTCTTCTACCAGTTTAGGACTGGCTTCAGATTTGAGAATAGCCTGGCCAAATTGGCTGCTGGTTGCCTCTCCCCTACACACTTCTTTCTAGGCACTGATTTATCAGTGGCAAACAGCCATAAGGTGTTTTTTTCTAATTTTCCACAATGGCCTGTAGTGATCCCCAACTCAGAAGCTTACTGGGGTATGGTGGGAAATTGAACATTATGGCTGCAAGCAGGAGCCAGGGCCAAGCATCAAGGCAAGTGGACCATGGGAGCCACTGAAGAGAACGTGGGATGGTACGAGGCTCAGCACACACTTGCTTCTTCTCCCCATCCCCAGTGACCTGGTCTATATACTCTATCCCCAATCCTCTCCTCCCAAAGGCAGCGTTATATTTTCTAGCCATAATCTGGGGACCTTGGATTTTAATGAAATCATTTTCTGGCTTTTCCCCAAATTGTACATTATTGTTTCCCCAGTTGGTTAGCGGTAACTTTTTTAAGGTGTGTTTTCAGGCAGGGATGTCTGCGGGCTGTGTGTTGTGTCAAAAAAGTCAAGATGGTGGCCACATCCATGCAATCTGAGGCCCACTCTTTTTTTTTACAGGTGTTGTGTGTTAAAAAGGGGCAGGGCTTTCATCGCATGGTTGTGGTCACCATTTTGACTTTTTATTCCACCTGCAAACACCCCTGCAAGATTGCAGAGAGAGAGAGAATAGCTCAACCTTTTTTCACAAGTGAGAGGAGACCCCTCTTTGAGTGAGAGAAATTCTAGCAAGCTGCTTAGGTTTTAAGAAAGTCTACAATATGGCTTTGTTAAATAATAAAGGTGAGTTTTGCTTATAAGCCCAATATCGGTGTTGCTACTGAGCTAAGCTGGTGAATGATTTGCCAAAGAAGAAGAATACAGTTCAGAGTGTGGGTTAACTAACCCCACTGCTTCTCTTCTTCACTGGAGTATCTAGGATGACAGAAGCTGTAACCAGACTACCAGGAGAACCAGTTGGCAAAACTCTGTTAGTGCCTTCCCAAATTCCTAATTCAGGGCTTTGCTTTTTCTCTCTGCCCAGTTTTTTGTGTTCCAAGTCTCTATAGAGAAAAACATTGCAAATGGCTGGTTATAGCTTAGGTTCTCCCTCTTGTCTCAAAACACACAGTAATGGATGCAAACACGTCTACAGGGAACCTCTGTATCCCATAGAGTTTATATTTGCAAATAAAACCAATAAATTACATTAGTTGCTCTGCACAGGCATTGAAGGCAGAGACAGGACCTCCGGCCCAGGACAACGGTTTTGGTAGAGGAAGGTGTAAAGGAAGTTGTGTGTGTATTTTGTGTGTGTGTGTGTATATGTGTGTGTGTGAGAGAGAGAGAGAATGTGTGAGGCAGATCTGCCTGAATGCCATAAGGTAATCTTAGGCAGCACAGGACAAAGTACATTCATTTCAAGAGATTCTGCCCACAGCATGAGGTTTCTTAGAGGTACAGTTCCTTTGGGGGAGGGGGATACAGAAGGGGGAGAGGGAGAGGGAGAGGGAGGTCTAGGGATCCTGGGTTCAAGAGACACTCTGGAGATAGAATGCAGGTGGCACAAAATGCCAGTTTTCCCAGGATATGTGGAATAAGTCAAAACAAACACCAAATGTCAACCCAGGCTAGATTCTAGAATATGGATCTAGAACCACCGTGCTCTAGGTCATGGAGGAGCCAAGAGAAGCATCTAGCAGGACAGGAGCCAACCCTCCCAGCACAGGGAGAGAGGGGACCAGGTTCTATGGAGATGAGGAGCCTTTAAAATAGGTATGGGCCCTAGGTGCCCCCCTCAGACCCGTTTTTGTAGCCCCTAGAATAGGGAACTGAGCTGAACCTTGTGGAGTAGAGCCCAGAAGGATTCCCAAGCGTGCAGTGGAATTCTGGAAGAATCGGAAGCCCCCCTCTGCACTCAGGAGCCAAAATGGGTTCTTACCAAAGTGTCCTTCTAGGCTGAAGTTGAATCACTGAATCTGGATTCTGTGGCCTCTCTCCAACAACAACAAAAAATGAAGGTGTGTATGTATAAGTATGTGCATGTGTGTGTGTGTGGGGGGGGTCTGTATGTTGGGGGAATCTACTATACATCACACCTGGATGCTACAAGGCCAGGTGCTGGCTTGTGGGGAGGAGAGAATGATCACCTTGGAGATTTACAGCAGAGGATTAAGAGAGATGGAGGGGAATGTACCAACCCTCTTCCCCGCAGCCCCTGTCTCCGCCCAGCAGTCACAATAAAATTCAAAACACAACCCTGTCAAATGCAGGCATTACCACCACTCCCACCCCCCACCCCCCAATAATCATCCC